GGCGGGCGCCTGTAGTCCCAGCTACTCGGGAGGCTGAGGCAGGAGAATGGCGTGAACCCAGGAGGCGGAGCTTGTAGTGCGCTGAGATCCAGCCACTGCACTCCAGCCCAGGCGACAGAGCGAGACTCCGTCTCAAAAAAAAAAAGAAAAAAAAAGAAAAAAAAAAAAAAAGAAAACCAAATACTGCATGTTCTCACTTACAAGTGGGAGCTAAATAATGATAAACACATGGACACATAGAGAGGAACAACACACACTGGGGCCTATGGGAAGATAGAGGGCAGGAGGAGGAGGAGGATCAGGAAAAATAACTAATGGGTATGAGGGCTTAATACCTGGGTAATAAAATAATCTGTAAAACAAAACTCCATGACACAAGTTTATATATATAAACTATATAATAAACCTGCACACATACCCCTGAACTTTAAAAAATTAAAATGAAAAAAAAAGAAGTCAGAGGTGTTGGATTGCAATTGGAGATATCAGTGTAAATTCATGAGTTTTAATACATATTGATAGATATGTAGAAATGAATATTATATAGGTGTGTATATGTGTGTATGTGTGCATGCATGTGTGTACATATACACATCCATATTATATACATATTATTTTAATTCCCCAGCTCTGTCATCTGACAAGACCTTGGAAGCAATGACACTGCAGTAGCAAGGAGAACATCCAGAGCCCAGATCTTGGTCTGCAGTATCGATCTCCACTAAAAGGAACCAGGGCTCCTCAGAAAAATGGGTCACTCTGGGTTGGGTCAGGGAAAGGATAAGGTAAGTCTTGAACATCCTGATATACTAAAAGTAAGAAAGTCTCCAAAGAATGATTTGGACATGTCAGAAGGACACAAAAGCCAGTCTGAAGAAACTCTCACTGGCCAAGTCTGAGACAATTTGAGTATGGAAACAATGATGGTAAAGATTAGAGCTTATTGAATAAAAGAAACAACGAGTCTACACCAATATAAATAGAAGGTCAAGGGGGAAGGAATAGCTTTTCATTACAGTAGAAAGCCAACTAACAAATGTAGAAGGGATGATCAGGTTAGAAAATCTCCATTTGTCTACCATCACAGTAATAATTCTAGCTAGAATCATCAATGGACATCATAATACATTCACATATTCTCGAAGTACTTTTTAAAATTTTTTTATTTTTACAGACAGGGTCTCATTACATTGCCCAGACTGGTATCAAACTCCTGGGCTCAAGCTGTCCTCCTGCCTCCTAAGTAGCTGGGCCTACAGGTGGGCACCACCATGCTCAGCTCTGATATGTTTAAAGAGTGCACATATTTTTAACGGTGGATTTATAAATTGGTATAAGTCTTTTGAAAAGCAATTTTGCAGAAGAATTCGCCCTTCTCTATCCCTCTACTTATATCAGTGTAGACTCGTGTCTTCTTGTTTTATTCAATAAGTTCTAATCCTTATCATCATTATTTCCATGTTCAAATTGTCCCAGATTTGGCCAGTGGGAGTTTCTTCAAACTGACTTTTGTGTCTTTGTGACATGTCTGTATCATTCTTTAGGGACTTCCTTGCTTTCAGTATATCAGGATGTTCAAGCCTTAAAAGCCTTAAAAATATTCCCTGGGTCCTGGTAATGCTACACTGAGAATCTACCCTATAAAACAACCCTAATCACATAAAAAGCTTTATACAAAAATGTATTTGTAGCAGCATTTTCTTTTTAAAATAGCATTAAAAAATGAAATAATCTAAATGTCTGACCCTGAAAAAATGTTTATATGCCTCCATAGCTTTTAAAATAAGGCTTACAAATATTACGTGAAAAGATTTTTGATATGATGTTGAATGAATTTTTTTTTTTTTAAGCTGACTTCTGTCTGGGTACAGTACTCACATCTGTAATCCCAGTATTTTGGGAGGCCAAGGCGGGCAGATTGCTTGAGCTCAGGAGTTCAAGACCAGCCTGGGCAACACGGCAAGATCCTGCCTCTATTAAAAATACAAAAAAAAAAAAGAAAGATCCAGGCATGGTGGTGCATGCCTGTGGTCTCAGCTACTCAGGAGGCTGAGGTGGGAGGATCACTTGAGCCGGGGTGGGTTGAAGGGGGTGGGGGCAGAGGTTGCAGTGAGCTAAGATCACACCACTGTACTCCAGCCTGAGTGACAGAGCGAGAACCTGTCTTTACTTTTCCTAAAATTATTTAAAAAAAAAAAAAAAAAAAAAAGGCTGACTTCTTTCCAGGCACAGTGGTTCACACATTTTGGGGAGGCTGAGGCAGGAGGATTCCTTGAGCTCAGGAGTTCGGGACTAGCCTGGGCAATATAGTGAGACCCGGTCTGTATTTATAAAATAAAAAAACAAAAACTGACTTCTGATTCTTTCACTATGGTGGGCTAGACAAGATACTTTTTAAAATACGAAAGGTAAAATAATAACTTTACGTCAAAAAATCTGGTAGACACCACCTTAGCAAAATGATTAAAGCTACCATTACCAGTTATGGGGATCCTCAACATGTGCCTTCTAATAGGATACACTGAGCATCTCTTCTGTGGTATTCAAGGGACACTGTACAACATAATAGTCTGTCCTCTTGAAAAATCGTTTCAGATTGAAGGAGACTAGAAAGACATTACAACTGAATTCAGTCTATCATCTTGGATTTTCTTTTGTTATAAAGGATATTGTTGGGAAAATTGACAAAATCTCACTAAGTCTAGAGATCGGAGAAGAGTACCATGTGTGTAGTATTGATAATTTTACTGTAATTATATAAGGTAAATCCTTGTTTGCAAAAAATAAACACTCAAGTATGTTAGGTTAAAGTGGCATGATGTGTAATTTACTCTCGAGCAATTCAAAACTTTATATATATGTACATATATACATATGTTTTTATATATACATACATATACATACGTACATACATTACAACATAATTATATGTTATATATATACACACATAGAGATTAAAAATAGGAAGGAAAAAGAGAGAAAGATAAAGCAAACATAGTTAAATCTGGTTGAAATGTATTCAGGGATTTCCTGTCTATTCCTGCAACTCTTGTAAATCTGAAATTACGTCAAAATGTTAAGTATGTAATTATCTATTGATCTTCTAGTCTACCAGACACACTAAAGGGAATGTATATACAAATAATTTTAGCATTCTTCTTCTTCACCAAAGGCAAGAAACATTTCAAACGTTAAGACAAAAAACCAATACAAAAAGAGGTTGACTTTTCTGATGTCAAACTAAAGGGGCCAACTGTCCCAATTTGCCCAAAAATGTCTGGTTTTAGCAATGAAAAGTTCCACATCCTTGGAAATTCCTTAGTCCTGGGTAAACTACAATAGCTGTTCACCCTTTCTCAAACAATTTTCTGGACAATTAAAATTTTAATTTAAACAGTAATCTTTTCAGTTTTTATGTAGAAAAAGACTATGTTCTTTCTTCCATCCATTTTGGTTGGTGCCTCTCAACTATTCTTTTCAAGTTGTCTAAGCATTCATTCAAACACAGTTGACTGTGTTACAAGTTGATATACTTTTCTGGAGCAATCTGCCAAGATATACTGAGAAATTTAAAAAACTGTTCATAAATCTTAAGAATAGTTCTATTCCTGGGAGTTAATCCCAGGGAAATCATTATAGATTGCCCAAAAATGTGCGGAGAAATGGATAGTTATCATAGTGTCATTACAGTAAAATACTGGAATTTACCCAAAATGTCTAAATCTGGAGAAATGGATATATAAATTATGCTACAGCCATATAACTGCATGTTAGGTAGCCATTTTAAAAATCATGTTTTTGAAGAATGATATTTAAAAAGTTTGTGAAATATTGTTAAATTTTTAAAAAGTATTTCATCAACATACAAAGTCATTTATACAGCATGAAGCCATTTTAAAAAATACATAAATATGACTGGCCTGATGCAGTGGCTCACGCCTGTAATCCCAGCACTTTGGGAGGCCGAGGTGGGCGGATCATGAGGTCAGGAGTTCAAGATCAGCCTGGCCAAATGGTGAAACCCCGTCTCTACTAAAAATACAAAAATTAGCCAGGTGTGGTGGCAGGCACCTGTAATCCCAGTTACTTGGGAGGCTGAGGCAAAGAATTGCTTGAACCCGGGAGGCGGAGGTTGCAGTGAGCCGAGGTAGTGCCACTGCACTCCAGCCTGGGTGACAGAGCAAGACTCTATCTCAAAAATAAATAAATAAATAAATAAATATGAATATATGTATATATGTGAATTTAAAATGAGACAATACATTGTTTACATACTGTATGCTATATGTGAATATACTATATATACAAACTGCATACTATTCCAAATTAACATAATACAATGCATAACCTGAGAATCTACCTCTGAGCAGTAAAATTATAGGTGAATTCTAATTTATTCTTTCAATGTATCTATATTTCTAATTTTCAATAATGAATCCTATTTTATACTTTGAAAAAAAGTATAATTTTTAAAAGACTTCTAATTTTATGCAGTGTGATTATAAACAAGAAATAAATTGCTACAAGCTTTCCAAGAAATCAAGTTCATTATTTTATAGTGACATTTATACAAAAAACCCAAGATAGTAAGACTATACATGCAAACATAATGGGGAATAAAAGTTAAAAGTACAATAGACTGACGCAGAATTTGTTGAACCATACATCTCATATAGAGTAGGTTCTATTACCTCCCAGCTATCCGGCTCCAAGAATTCTTTTTTTTCTGTGGCTTTCAAAAACTCCTCCAGAGTCACCAATCTGTCTTTGTTAGTATCAACCTGATTAAAAGAAAATGTATACATAATACAAAGTAAATCTTTCTCATATTATTTAGACACTATCAACTGTCTTGTAATAGAAGCCACTACATAAACATACAGAAATTAGGACTCACCTAACATCCACAGAAACTGGAGGAAAAAAAATAACAGAGCACTCAACATTATACTAGAATTACAAAATAAATATCTTTCTCTTCTATATAATTCAAATTGGAAAATATGAGATATCTATATACCTAATGCCCCTAAAACCACTAAGTTTCAGTCAGCTGATCTGAGTGGTTGACTGGTATCGTCTTCGTACTTTACCATAATATGTATAATCCCTCTTGAAGCCAAGTTCTTCAGTAAGAAAAAGAACCATTCTAGAAAGAGGACAGTTTTAGCCAAGAGTAAAGGAGGTTAAACTAAAATGCTCTCAACACTTTTTCTTAAAAAAACACAATTACCTAAATCAAAACTAAAGCTGACAACCTCTCCAAATCCTCTTGCATAGCTGTTACAGCCTGTGGCAAATTTCGTTACAAAGGTGTACTGTATAATGGTCAAAGAAATTCACTTGATAGTTGGGATGTCAGCAGTCAACAGACATCCCAATTTAGCATTTACAGTTTAAAAATTCAGATGAAAGTTACTGAAGCAAAATAGTGGGATTCAGTTACCCTGCATATGATGCCTATATCAGAGTTTTTGGCTTAGAGGGAGGAGAGGCAGAGCAAGAACTACAGAGAAAGGCAAATATTTAAATGAGGGTAGCCATTAGATGGACCATGGACATCTCAGCACAGACTCAGTGGAAGTAAGACCTTGTGATGATCTAAAAAGGAGTATTCCAGAAAAAAGAAATATTAAGTCCAAATGCTCTAAAATGGGAACAAGCTTGATGAGAGGTAAACATCAGAAGGCCAGTGTGGCCAGAAGAGAGAGAGTCACACAGCGCAAGGCAAGGATGAAGTCACAAATCTTTCGGAAATAGGAGGGATTTGGGATCATATTATAAGGGAAACTGCAAGCCATTGAAGTATTCCTATGCAAGAGAGCACATGATCTGATTTATGCTTTTAAGAGCTTACTCTGCCTACTTATGAAGAAGAGTCTGCAGTGGGGTAAGGAACAGAAGCAGAGATGCCAGTTAGGAGACTTGCTTGGACTTGATTGGTATTAAATAGTAGTGGAAGTGGGGGGAAGTGGTCAAATTCTGGATCTGTTTGAAAGATAGATCAAATAGAACTTATAGAGGAAATGCAGGATATGAGGAAAGAAGTTAAGGATGACTTAGCCTGAGCAACTAGATGAATTATGATTAATTTGTTGAAATGAAAAAGGCTGAGGAAGGAACAGATCTGGGTTTGAAGAAGATGTGAGTTAAACACAAGGAGAACTGTCAAGCAGATACAACCCTGGAACTCAGAGAAAGGAGACAGCTGAAGATAAAATAATTGAACTCACCAGCATACATGCAGATATAGAGCATATATAGAGACATGGGACTCCACACTACCACCTAAGGAGAGAATGAAGCTAGAAAGAAGAACATGGCCAAGGGATAGGAGCAGGGCAATGCAACATGTAGAACTTGGAAACAGGAAGAAGAGCCAGCAAAGAAGAGAGAGTGGGGTATGAAGAAATTGAGGAGGTGTGGTTTCCCAAAAGTGAAGAAACCATTTCAAGAAAGAGGGAGGCATCAACTGTATCAAATGTTGCCAAGGGGTCAAGTAAGATGAGACCACTGGACTTGACAAGATAGAGGTCATCCAATGGGAGGATTTTTAAATGGAATGATTGAGGCTACAGCACAGATTAAGACGAAAAGGAAAGGTGAAGAATTAACAGGAAGAAGAAGAATAGACAACTCTTTGAAGAGAAACAGAGAAATGAGGCAGTAACCAGAGGTTGTTTTTTGTCTTTGTTTTTCAGTACTGAAAAAAGGGTTTGGTTTGGTTTGGTGTGGTGTGGTGTGGTTTGGTTTGGTTTTGAGATGAAGTCTTGCTGTGTAACCCAGGCTAGAGTACAGTGGTGTAATCTTGGCTCACCGCAAACTCTGCCTGCTGGGTCCAAGAGATTCTCATGCTTCAGCCTCCTAAGTAGCTGGGATTATAGGTATACAGCACCACACCCGGCTAATCTTTGTATTTTTAGTAGACACGGGGTTTCACCATGTTTGCCAGGCTGGTCTCGAGCTTCTGACCTC